TAGCAAATAAAAATTAACACAGGTCAGAAAATTAGGCAGAAATGGGGTTAAGATGGCTCTCTTTATGAAATGAGGTTTACCTCCTAAATTAGCTATGGTTATACAGTATATTTTTTCTAGGATATTCACTTCACTCTATACTAAAAACTTCATTCAGTATATCTTTACTCAATATTGATCATATGACACATTTATGAACTTTACAACTATATGGCAAGGGATGAATCCTGTTTGAAATAAGGCTAGAACTATGCCAGACACTGACTACAGTTATGATAAATACTACTCTCATGTGAAATGAGGACCAAAGACTAAACAATTTGCCTTACTGATTGCAGAGTATAGAAATATAGAACCCTAACTCCCATGTTAAATGTTTTTCTACAAGCCCATGGCTCCTAAGTCATATTTGAATTGCCATCAGAAAAAAACTTTTTCATATTTACATAACACTTCTTACTTGTTTCACTTTTTATTAAAATTCTAATTGCTTCAAAAATAATAAATATTTTCTAAACTAATAAACACAAATTTCTTTATATAAATACATATTTAAAAGTGCATCCAAAATAATAGTGCACTACTTAGGGGGTGTAAATAAAAACTGTGGATCCCTTTTCCTCTTCTCTTTTCAGACAACTGTGGAGAAAATAATCTCAAGCCACAGGGCAGTTAAATTCAAACTAGAAATACATTACATTAAGCCATTTATTAGAAATAAATTACATTAAGCTATTTATAGTAAGGTATTTTACCACACAATAAGTACATTCCAGAAATAATGTTAAGAAGAAGAAAAGGCTAGACAGCTAAAATAATTTCCCTTGCCAAAATGACATGCTATGTCTAAACTCAGGAACACTGTATTACCAAGCCATTTAAATACACAGTCAGATGTAGTTATTAAAGATTCCTGGGAAGCCAGTAAGATAAAACATAAACGTGAGCAAACACATGGGACACTGGAACCTTACTAATGCTATCTAAAGATAACATTCCATACCTATAGAATTTCATATAAGGTAGAACCAGTTCAAAGTGATTTATTACTTAATGTAAAACAATTTATAGACTAGATCTTTTCATTATATTCTTTAAAATAATCCTACTCGATGACTTTAGTAATAACTACAAGGCTTCACAAGATCTCTAGCATGGCAATATTTTTTTTTCATAATCACCTTTTAACCAAGATACTAAGTCAAGTTTTTTTTAAATTCATGACAAAAATATCTACTTGACAAATCTTGAAAAAAGTTCAAAACCCAAATATGTCTTAGAATGTTTCTAAAAGCAAGGATCTAAAGACAGTAGGAATGATTGGCTTTCTCAGTTTTTTCAAGTGGAATTTCACAAGGATGAGTTTGGTATAGTATCTTAAACAATTAAAGGCAAAGTGTGATCTGTGGTACTGACTTTGTGTATCTCTTACATAATCACGTTATCTGTTACTTATCTTGGAAAATTCACCAGCGAATGGCCACCTTCTAAATGCCTAAGAAAATGTAATCAAAACATTTATCTTAAACTCAAAAGTACTGATAAGCATTCCTCTTTTTAAATAACAGTGAAAAATAAATAGCACCTTTTAATTCATGGCATTCTTTTCTAAAATGCTAAGTTCTGGTGCTCCTCAGCTTACGACGGGGTTATGTCCTAATAAACCCATCGTAAATAGAAAATATCAGAAGTTGAAATGCATTT